CTAGGTCAGTTCGATGTGACATCCAAGTCTTACGTTCTATGACTCAAGCTCACTCATTTTCAGCTGGGACAATAGAGAGAGTGGTGATTAAGGGCAGCCTGACCTCGGCTACTTAGCCTGAGATTCTTCATTGACAAATGCAAATCATAATTGTATCTCCCACTTCAGGGTGTTGCAAAGATTATAGAGATTCTAGAATCTTTGTCAAGTCCTTGTCCTCAAAATCATACCAACAGGGGGCCTCCCTGGTGGCCAAGGGGTTAAGTTCTGCTCTCACGTTATCACTGCTATGACCTCTCCTGTCTCGCCCACTTCTCCCCTCAGCGGTGTTTCAATCAATCCACCGGTTCTGTTCCCTACTGTCTCTGAGGAATCCTCTCACACACACATTCCCCCCACACACACACACTTCTGGCCTACTCCCCACTTCAACTCAAAAATAAATAAAACCTTTTAAAAAACATTGTATCGACAGGAGACGTCTACCATACATTAAGAGGAGCCCAGGATTCGTCATGCAGTCGCCCTGGGGTGAAGCACTGCTGCAGACACCTGTGTAAATGATGATTTTACGATGCTCACAGCTTCAGTGTGCCAGGCGTTGGTGCACTGGGGTCACACGGCTGCAGGCAGGACGCACAAGACTGTGTCTGCAGATGCTGGTGGTGAGCTCTGGCTCTGACTGGGCCCTCAGCCGGGACCTTCAGCCACAGCATCCACAGTGACCGCTCCATGTTGCCTTGTTGGCAGGCAGGCAAGGGGTCTGCTCTAAATAGGTTCTGCCATCCGCCGCATTAAGACAAAATACTCTAGTGTGTAAGACCTTCCATAGAAAATAACTTTTTTTAAAAGATTTATTTATTTATGCATACAAGAACTGGAGTACAGGCCAGAGGTGCAGGAGGTGAGAGGATTCACCAGAGATAGAGTGGGGAGCAGAACAGACAGACAGACCGAAGACATTGCTGAGGGAAGCAGAGGACGGGACAGGAGAGGTCTGCAGGGCCATGTGGGAATCAACCTGGCCGGCCGGGAGTCGAACCCACGCCGCAGAGGCTGCGGACAGCTTCACAGCGCTGCGCTCAACCCCCTGCGCCACCAGGGAGGCCCGAAAATAACTCTTTAATAGAATTAGTGCTCGACAGAAAAGAGAAATACAGTTAAAACAGTGCCCAATAAAACACCCAAAGTTCTCCATCCCCTCGTGGGTAAATGCCCAGCCTAACAGGGTTGGCCCAAAGCAGGGCCATGAGGCCCAAAATCATGTCACAAGTTTAAGGCACTTTCCGGCAGGAACCCCTGGGAAGGGGCAGAGGGGCTGGGCAAGACTGGCAGGAAAAGAGCAAAATCAAAGCAAGTCAAGATTAAGTCTCCACCCCCCCCACCCCCCCTCCCGCTCCCCGCAGGCCTCACCCATGTCTCTGTCTCTTTCATGTGTCTCTTTCCACGTGTCTCTTTCTGCTTGCACTCCCAAGCCCCCAGTGCAAGTCCCAGGGAGAGAAGCAAAGAGTTTCTTCAGACTTCTCTGCCCCATGGGCCTCCTCTAGGGCATCTTCCAGGTCTTCTTCCTTCCTGTCTCCTCTAGCTCCCCTCCAGCACCTCCCCTTTCTGGGGGTTGCCCTGTCACAGCCTGAGCTCTTGAACACGGCTCCATGGGGGAGTCAGCTTTCTTGTGGGTCAAGTGCCCCAGGAAGCAGGATGGCAGCGGGAGCACGGCGATGGCTGGCCTAGGGGGTCAGGTTTTGCTGGTCCTGGAGTTACTAAGGCCCCGTGCACAGGAGCATGTCCAGGAATTAGCAGGCGTGTTGTCAAGTGGCCCGGTGAATGAGGTTAATGAAGAACGATGGTGTTCAGCCGTGTTATCGCCAACAGAATGAAAAAGACACAATATTGGAAACAGCTGACTGAGAAAGTCCCCCATGATCACAAGGCTCTTCTCCTCAGCGGCCCCTCAGTCCCGCAAGAGGGGGAACCTAGCCTACCTCCATTTCTCAAACACCTCCACATGAGAGCAGGGCGAGGGGCGCGGTAAGGAACAGCAGCTGTCATTTGCAGCTGTAGCACGTTGCTTTATGCCGGCGGCGTGAGCATCGTCGTGGGCTTTCCTCCTAGATTTCAGCTGAGGCGACGAACAGAAACCCCACACACAGCGGCTCCAATTTGCTTCATGGCCCAGCCAGCCCGGGTTGGCAGGTCGGCTCCGCTCAGGGATGACATTTAGCGACAGGGGTCCTGGCACACCTCCGCTGTTCTGGGGGGCGTTATCCTCAGCTGCAGGGCAAGAGAGGTAACACCTCACCTCCAGCTGCGAGGACAAGGCAGAGCCCAAAAAGCCCTCGTCTCAGCCTGGGGATGATCTGTCTGCACCTGTCTTCATCATTCTTCACCTGCCTTTGCTCCATCGCCTCTGCCCACATCCATTGGCCCAAATTCACTCACGTGGCCTTGTTGCATGGCAGGCCGGGAAATAGTACGACAATAAAGCCACACGCTCAGAAGAACAGAGGGAGGGACAGGGCCTGTCCCACGCGTGGTCAATAAATTATACTAACATCCAAATGTTTGCAGCATTCAAAAGCTCATCATATCTTCCTGATCGCCATCAATTTCAGGGTCATAAATAATGTGCCAATTGCAAATGAGCCTAAATTAAATAACATGTACTTACCAGTGTCAAAGCACTTATCAATGTCTCCACGACTGCCAGCAACTCCCCTGCTAAAGTGTCTGCAAGTTGAGTTGGCAACATCATTCTTACCTGGGCTCCTGCCTATGCATCATGATGAATCCAAACGAAGAATGTTCAACGAGATCGTGGCAGAATTTGGAAATAACTAAGGTGGAGGAAAGCGGCTTGACAGCTAAGAATCCACACTCAAAACTGGTTGGGGACAAAATTCGTTTACCTTCAAGGCAAGAACAGGTGGTGTTTTCTTTCACGTGTGTAATGGTGTTGTTTATGTATGCATCACCTAACATTAAATTCTAGATTTAAAACAGGATTCCTTCACAGCTGCTGCAAGTTTAATGGTCTTGAGTAAATGTTTACAGACGCCTGAATATGCCCTTAGCCGAGCGCGGCATGATGAAGAGGGCTGGGCCTGAAATCACCTCTGTCTTCCTTAAGTGCTCAGCCTCCCTGAGTCAAATTCCTCAGCTGTGACCCGGATTACTACCTACACCTTGCGGTGGAGAAACAAAAAATGGCACAGAAAGCCCTTTATACCAGCCGACACGGTCACACCCCGCGGAGCAGAGAACACTCGGGCTGCGTCTGGTCTGCAGATAGGAAGCACCGACGACCCCCAGTGCCCCCGGGGGCCCGGGCAGCAGACACAGGGAGGGAACCAGATTATGCTCTCCTGCTTTTGATTCCCGTCTTGTTGTCTCAAGCAAAAGACGGATAAATCAACTCACCAGGGCCATGTAGTCCTGGCTTACTCCCAGGAGGAAAGAGAGCACACGTCACGGTCACGGCCACCGTCAGCCCCGGTGCGCCAGCAGCAGCACCAGCGCTGACCTGGTCCCGACGGAGAATCTTCCATAGCGTGACTGCAAGCTCAGACCACTGCCTATAGGCCCAGGCACAGAGGGAATCATCGGGAGGGATGTACTGATTTTTTTAAAACTGGATTTAAGCAAGAAGAAATGTGAAAAATAACCCGGCGGAAGCAAATCACCATGTTAAGCATTTCTCACTGGGAATCGTAAATGCTCAAGCCTAAGGTGAGGGATGCCAGGCAATGAGCAGGGAGCTGCACAAGAATCACACGGGGAGACCCAACAACATAGCGCCGTGGGGTGACGGGTCCCAGACTACCTCACCGAGCTACAGAGGACAAGGGGTGTGGCAAGCGGGAACCCAAAGGAAACACGTCTCAGAGAGACATTCCACACTTTCCACACCAAGTGCCCCGGGAAGAAGTTCCATTGTCGGGCGTTTGCATGGCATGTTTCCGTGTCAGGAGGTGAGGTTTCAATCTTTCTCTTTGCCCGCCCTCCCAAAGAGAATTTCACTCCAGAGAAGTAAATAAACTGAATTTGATAAAGCTATGTGGCTAGGAGCAAGACGATGGGCCCTCCCACAAATCACAAATCGCAGCTAAGAAGGCACCTCCCAAGCCTGGAGACAGTGAGGAGACAGTGGGTGGGCACCGCCATTGTGCCCAGGCCCCTGCCAGTGACGAGGGCCCAGAATCCCAGGGCCTCACACAGCGCAGCACACATGGTGCTGGGTGGCTTTGGCTGCAGAGAGGGAAGCACCGAGCAGGAGACGTGCCCTGTGGCCTCACACTGTCGGAGGTGGGCCAAGTGTGTCCAGTGAAAACCGGCGAGAGCTGAAGCACAACTTCACGTGCCTTTGCTAGGTCTTCAGATCACCACCTGCGACATCTCCCCAGGACAGATGTAAAGGGGTGCCACCCAGGAGGGGCCCTCGTGTGGGATGCAGGGACACCCACTATGGATGGCACAGGATGAACTTGTGTGCTGAGGGGACAGAACTCACCTCGGAATCCCAAGTTTGAAGAGAGAGAAGCATCTCCAAGTGAGACCGAGCAGGGGAGCTTTCCCTGGCCTCCGGGAGCCCCTCCTCAGACTCACAGGAGGGCAGAGCACACCCTCCTCATGTTGGGGGGCTGTGCTAGGGGCTGACTGAGTCACGGGGCCTTTGGCAGATTCAACCCCCACAGGCTGTGTGGGAATAAACGCTGTTTCACAGATTCTAAGAACCAAGTCACTTTCCCAAAGTTACCTTTCCCAGAAAGGGAACTCAGTGCCCACTTCCCAGAAAAGTAACTCAGGGGATTTGAACTTCATTTCCAGCATGTCCTCCCCCAAACCGCCTAAACAGAATCTCCCCAAACTTGACCCCGAGGTCATTTTTGTTTCTAAGAGGAGAGCTCAACATTTGACTTTGACTTTCTTCCTGAACCAACCTCTCAGGTAAAGACAGCACTGGAGGGTGCAAAGCACTGCCCTGGGTGGCCCCACTCAAAATTGGGCTCCCAGAAGGTGACAGACGCGCTTTCCCTGGGCCCAGACCTTCCCCCAGATCCTGCGCTGTGATCCACCCAGGATTGACTTTCAACCTTGCTCCTGCCTAAGCTTAAAGCCTCCTGAGGCAAGCCCCAGTGCCCCAAGGAGTAAGTTCTCCTGAAGGGTACAGGGAGCTCACCAGAGACAAGTTTCCATGATGTTCGGACAACAGTAAAGCAACTGCCCGCTGGCAGCGCAGGGCCTGGGGTCTGGTGGGTACATCTCTCACTCTGCAGAAACAGCTCTAGACCCTGCCCAATAACAACACCTCAATGCCAGCACGATCCCGACTTTTATTATTAGTCAGACCGATCACGACGACGAGGGCGAGAAGCAGGCACAGGCCAGTGCACAGTCCAGCACCCACCAAACTCGGGCCAGGACTCGTGGAGGTGGGTGGCAGCGCACTCCTCTCTGGGCCTCAGAATCGCACTTGGGCCCTGAAGTGCATCTGCTTGGTGGCGTTGTTCTTCATGCCCGTCCTCAGCATCCACTTGGACTTCATCCTCTGCACGTACTGCATGTCCCGCTCTCGCATCAGCGCCGCCCCTGTGGCCAAGGGGGCGAGAGACCAGGCAAGGGGGTGACCCGTGAGTCTCAGTTTGCGTCTCATATGTAAAGAGCTGTTAACCTGGGGTCTCTGTCCAGGGGGCCTTGGGTCCCACGTCTGCATACCAGAACTTTCCTCCCTGCACACGTTTCTATGCAGTTTTCACCACCCGTAAAGGGTGTCTAAGCTCCAAGGATGTACGGGGCAGAGGCAGACCGCGCACGGCAGGCAGACAAGACCAAGTCAGTGTCTGCGGGACTTGGGGCTTGTCCGGCCCACACGCAGGAACGGTGAGTTTCATATGCAGATACTCCAGAACACACTGAAATTATTTTACTCTGATGGGGTTTCAGAGCTCAACAGTGTCGATGCCCACTTTACTCCTCTCTGTTCGCTGTGGGAAAATCACGGCCTTTACTAGGGCAGGGGCTCTAGAACACCTGCTGGATGACCCTGGCCCCCAGGACTCCCGAAGGCAGGGCCCATCATCTTTCTCATCTTACAAATGTGGAAACAACGTGCTGAGATTAATGGAATCGCACCCACTTACTCATCTAATGAGGGCATCAGAGAAGCTACATTTGACTCCACAGTCCAGTGCCAGAAGGACACTCTAACTCCTCTGTAATCTCTCCCTTTGACAATTACAAAATAATTATTTTTGTAACTATTCCCTTCTAGAAAGTTACTAGTGTATATGCAGTTTCAGAGAGCACCAGAAACGTGAAGTCCGTACACCATGGAGCTCCGGGCTCGCGTAACCGTGTCCAGCGGTAACGGGGCCTTGCGGCCAATGCTTGCCCTACAGAAGGCCTGCGAGGGTGACATAAACGGAAGCGACGTCCCCCCAGCCTGCAATACCTGCAATACCCGGCTGCCCCAGGGTTGCGAGCGTCGACGTACCTGTGCTGCCGGTCCACCCCAGAGCTCTGTACTGCCGCAGCACCCGGCCCACGGCCTTCTGATTCCTAGCGACGGCCACGGCTCTGGATACGCCAAACCGCTGCTTGTAGTATCGCATCAAGGAGCGGTGACCCACTCTGGCACCTGTTTTGCCAAAGAGCAATATTCAAACATGGACTTGGATAGTTTTTCAAGGCAGAGGTACACAGAATGGGCTTTCCAAACCAGACCTGTACAGATCTCTAGCTGGGAGTAGGAACAGTACACTACCTGCTGGAGGAGGATCAGAGCGAGCCTTTTAAAAAAAAAAAAAAAAAAAAAAAAAAAGCCTAAGAAGAAAGTGATTTAAAAAGAGAACAGCAAGCCACTGTTAAGTGAAAACTCAGTACTTAAATGCAATATGCCTCATAGAAGTTCACAGCAGTGCCCACATAGGGCCCAAGGAGGTAAGGGGTCTGCACTTTATTTTTTTTAATACAAAGGGGATTAAGCATAGAGAGCGATCCTGATGTTTATGTCTTGGAGTCACAGTTGGTCTGGGACAGAAATCAATCCACCTTCGCTTAAATTTCTGTGGCAACGGTCCTCAAATCCAAGCGCCTTTACCCCCGCGGGTACATGGCCCTGACTGGAGACACATCTCGTTACTGGAGCTCCGAGGCTACTGGCGCAGAGCGGGGAGAGGCCAGGGACGCTGCCAACCTCCCGAGCGCAGCCAGACCCCCAAGATGGAGGATTACCTGGCCCGAGAGGCCCACGGTGCTGAGGCTGAGCCGCCCTCTTGCTCTCTGTGCGGGGAAGCACCGCTGAACTGGAACTTTAAAAGATGACTAAGCCACATTGTCTGGACTGCTGGGGCTGATGCAGCAGCAGCTGTCACGCTACGTGTGCCACGATGCTATCTGCCTGAAGTGAGTCATCACTGGTCCTTCCCCGGGACAGTGGGCCGGGCCGGGATCTGCACTGCACTGCAGGGAACGGAAAAGTTTGCTGACTACCTGGACACAGAAAAGTAGTTACTTCTAGGTGTTCGTGCTGTGATCAGACTCCAGAAGTGACAAACAGAAGCTTCTGGTTCACAGATGACAAGGCCTGAGGACACCAACAGGGGAAAACATGTTTTTCCCTGAAGCTGACTGGTTGCTTAGCATTAACAAGCTCCCGCCCACAAAAGCAAGTACAGGTAACGGCTAAGATCAAGTTTAGGAGGAGGCTCTAGCAGGCAGATCTGCCCCTGTCTACTGTGACTTTCTACTTGTAATGTTAGGGCCGGGTGCTGCAGGTTTGCGATAGTTACCTCAAAAATCATTAAATGATAATGCCAGTCAATTACATATAAATCAATATATTTATCTTCTTAAGCAGCATTTGGAAATACATACTGTTGAAGGCTGGCTTTTAAAAACATCCTTGAAAAGGGCCTCTCTAGTGGCACAGGGGTTAAAATCTCAGCACTATCAAGCTATCTCCAGCCACTGTACATGAGTTTGATCCCTGGCCAAGGAGATACCCACATGGCGCAGCAGACCTCTCCTGTCTTGCCCGCTGCTCCCCTCAGCAGGGTATTTCAGTCAGTCTGCCTGTTCTGCTCCCCACTCTGTCTCTGGTGGATCCTCTCACCCTCCCACACCTCTGGCCAACACCCCAAATCTTGTACGCATAAATTAAATAAATCTTTAAAAACAAACAAACAAAATATCCTTGAAAAGGTTTCACTACTCAGTGCCAAGGTTTCTAACAGCCTTGGGGGATGGAAGGGTGGGCAGTAAAAACAGCCGTGCCCAGAGCCAGCCTACCCTGGGTCAGTGACAGCACCTGACATTAAGCATCAAGTATAATATGTAAAGTACAGCTCACTGGAAGGCCCTCATCAAGGAAAAGTATTTTTAGAACAGTGTGACTAGGCAATAAATAGCAGGTGGAGCTCTCTGTCTGAGCGAGCCACGCCTGCCTGACCCGGCAGCACAAGCTCACGGAACTGCCCAGCTCTGCTCAGCCAACAGCCTCACACGCGATGTCATCAGACAGTGGGAAAGAAAAATTTCCAACTGTAATTTTCCTACGAAGATAAACTATGTCTCTCTCCCAGATCCACCAGCAGTTTCACCTGGCGAAATGGACGTGTTTTTCCCACGAACTTATCCACAGCAGCTGAAGAGCATTGAAGTGAAACTCAGGGAACCCGCCTGACCAGTCATCAAAACAAATGCTCACAGCGCCCTCTTCTGGATCATCGCTGTCACTGCTCTGGGGTCATCTAGGTTCTCAAGTATGGATAGATTTAAGGAACCACCACTGATTTTGGAACAAATTAAAGCTGACTAAAGTGGGCACAGTGGATGGAATATTACTAAGTTCTCCACATTTGAAACCATCTCAAATAGCTTCATGCTAACATCCCTGGCAACGCAATCACTCCACTGCAAAACTGAAGTGGCGCTGGACAGGTAAAATTGTCCAAAGAGGTAACCAGTGAGTAAATCCGCTGCTGGACACCACTTCACGCTTCTACTGTGTTTATGCAGAGATCTCCCATCTTCCCAGTTCACTGCAAAACTCCCCAAACCAGTATTGAGACACGGGAGGAGACAAATGGCCTATAAGCTGTCAGGTCTCCCTGCAATCAGACTGATTGAAGGAGGCTTGCCCTTCAATGAGACGGCAAACACTGGGTCACATTTCCAGCACTGTAGCATCTAGTAAGAAGTTTCAGAATACTGGCGGGTTGTGATATGTTAAGAAAGCTTTCCTTCTGAGCTATGAAAAAAAGGGGCCTCCCTGGTGGCACAATGGGTTAAGACTCAGCACTATGAAGCTATCAGCAGCCACTGCGGCATTAGTTTGTCACAGGGAGCTGACCCACATGGCACAGCAGACCTCTCCTGTCTCTCCCGCTGTTCCCCTCAACAGTGCATTTCAGTAGATCTGCCTGTTCTGCTCCCCACTCTGTCTCTGGTGAACCCTCTCATCTTCCAGACCTCTGGCCTGTACCCCAGTTCTTGTATGCATAAGTAAAAATGAATCTAAAAAAAGATGAAATTTTGGCATATGCAGAAAATTGAAAGGAACAATAGATTATGTGAGGTCAAGTAAGTCAAAAGAGAAAGACAGATATGGGATGATTTCATCTACATTAAAAATAAATTAAAAACCAACCCAAACAAAATGAAAACCAACCAGTGACACTGACAACAGAACTGAGGTTACCAGAGGGGAAAAAGGTGGGAGGTGGGAGCAAGGGTTGGGAGGGAGAGGGCGGATTTCAAGAATAATGGTGGTTTTTCACAAATAAAAAGCTCACGCTGGGGAAAAAAGAAAGAAAACTATGCTTTGTTGCTATTTAAACCAATCCTATTATAAGGTCTCAGCATTCAGTCATCTGTAAAGACCCATCAAGGCAGCAAATGATGTATATTTAGATGCTTTTATTAGGGCTCTTACTCTTCTGCAGGTCACAGATGCTTTAAGAAACCACAGTTTCTCCCCAGAGAAAAGGCCTCTACCACACAATAGTCAGAAAATGTATATGGGGCCTCCCTGGTGGTGCAAGAGGTTAAGACACAACCTATGAAGCTGTCCGATCCCCAGCCGGCCAGGAAGCAACCCACATGGAGCAGCAGACCTCTCCTGTCTCGCCCGCTGCTCCCCTCAGCTGTGTATTTCAGTGGATCTGCCTGTTCTGCTCCCCACTCTGTCTCTGGTGAATCCTCTCACCCCTCAAGCTCTGGCCTGTACCCCAGCTCTTGTATACATAAATCTTAAAAAAAAAGAAATGTGTATAGACACACAGGTAACTTGAAGTAGTTACGACATTTACCCAGGAAATTCACATACTGCACAGGGCAAAAAACTGTGCCAGTCTAGTTAAGAATGCTGGGTGAGGCAGTACCCGGCCGCGTCGAGGTTTTTCCCAAGCGTTTTGACGCAGTCCTACAACCAACCAGCTACTTCACCTCTAAGTCTATGTCCGAATACTTTAAAATAACATGACTCAGCAAGAAGACCAGCAGCGTGAGCAAGGAATCCCAGACTTCAAGCTATTGTCAGGCCACTTTCTTCTTCGACCTCATGGTGTGACACACAGCGACACGCCATGCTACCGCGGACAGCAAGTGCAGCGCTGAGCCCCGAGGCCGCTTCGTGACCAGAGGAGCTCTGCTCATCTGTCCTGCACCACAGCGGCCCAAGGGAATCAATCTTGCCTTTTAAAAGTCACCTTCACCCTCTCGATCCCTCAGCCAAGAAATATTTTTTTGGCTCCTGAATGTTTTCAGATCCTGTGCTGAGAGCAAGAAGCAGTCTATGTTTTCAAGCGTAAAGGGGAGGACAGGCAAGCAAGGCAACACCTGCACACGAGGGTGAGGGATGTCACAAGGCCTGCGGAAGTCCTGGGGCACGGGAGACTCTTGCTACTAGGACAGAATCCGAGCTGAGAAAGGCTTCCGGGGTCACACACCCAAGCTGAGTCTTCACTGAGAGAAGACAAGAGGCAACGCAAGCGCAAAGCCCAGAGGAAGAAACCACCACGGTGGTGAAGGAACAGCCCAGGGGAGCAGCAGCTGCAAAACTCAGCTTCCCTAAAGACAAAGCCTCTCCATGGAGAACTCCCAGGGGATGGTCAAAAAAATAAACTCCTGATGATTTTATAAAGAATGTTCTAGTTGTCAGGAGGAAAACAGACTGGGCATGGCCAGACAGGAAGATGACAGGTGACACAGACAAATGGGAAAAACAAAAAATATATTAAAAGCAATTTAGGAGCTGCATTTAGTAATCATCTGAAGGCAGGAGAGGAAGAGGAGTATCCTAAGAAGAAACCCAGTTTTGGCTTTGGCTAATCTTGGAAAATGCAGTCCCCTAATATGTCTTTTAGATAGCTACAGAGCCTTTTTTTTTTTAAGTTTCAAAACTGTTAAGTCCAGATGAAAATTTCTCTCAAACAGACCAAATTTCTTACGTACAAACACTCACGGGCATGCACTTTTATAACATGCAAAGGCAGATGTGAACGAGGCCGGCGACAGTCATGCTAACATGCTGCCTTACAGGGCTCATCCCTACAAGCCCTGTGGGATCTTATTCCACAGTTAAGGAAGCAAACTTAACGAGACACATCTGCCCAGACACATGGACTCCTCAGTAGGTGCAGGTAGTACAAGGAGGACCTTGTCTCTACCATTACCTCCCCGCCTTCTCACACGTTTCCACGGCTGCTCCTGTTTTATCAGCTGATCATAAGATCATAGACAATAGTGCTGCTTCTCATATTTATGCCTCCTCTTCACACCTGGATTAAATCCTCACCAACAGGAATCCTGCACCCCAAAACGGAAGGCAGAATTCAAACTCAAAGCCTCTCCAATAGCCAGAACACACAGGCAAACCAGGCTCTACTCAGTCAGATACACCCAGGCCAGGTTACCATTTGCAAGTCTGAGCAACATGCGGAACCAAGAATAATCAAAGAATTAAAATTCAAAGGTCAGATAAACAAGAAAAACCTAGATGGGGCCAAGAAAATAAAGAAAAGGTCTACGTATTTGAAAAGAAATGACTAATCAAAGCAAACTTGTTTATGTTCTGTCTGGATGGAAGGGACTGATAGGAACATGCCTCTTCGATAATCTCACTGGCATTGAACTATTTGAAAAGGGAACTTACCAGAAGGCAGAATTAACTCCATGGTTTCATCATCATATTCCAGGGGCTTTTCTGAGGATAATTCCTCAGTCTCATCAGGGTCCTCGCCTTCCTTATGGTCTGGATAGCTACTCCTGTAGCAATGAAAAATCATTAATAAACACCTCAAATTTAACTGACACGCAAAAATCGTGCTTCCCAATGTGGAAAACCCACCACCCACTTAAGTGGGGAGTGCAAGGAGGAACAGCAGCAGAGATTACAAACTGAAAGTTTTGGAGCGACAACAACTTTGTGGCATTTTCTCTGTATGAAAGTGTACAAATGGTCTATGAACTAAAAATGAATCGCAGGCATAAATGTAACACAACTTTGTAAAAACTCTACGGTAACAAAGGAGACAACCTACATGACTTAGGTGTGGTTCAAGTGGTAAATTTTTTAGCATGACACCAAAGGCATAACCCATGAAAGAAATAACCAACAAGCTGGACTTCATTAAAATTAAGAATGGGGCCTCCCTGGTGGCGCAAAGGGTTAAGCACCACACTATGAAGAAATCCGCAGCTTCTGCGGCACGAGTTCGATCCCTGGCCGGCCAGGGAGCAGCCCACATGGCGCAGCAGACCTCTCCTGGCTTGCCCACTGCTCCCCTCAGCAGTGTACTTCGGTCAGTCTGCCTGTTCCGTTCCCCACTCTGTCTCTGGTGGATCCTCTCACTCCCCTGCATCTCTGGCCTGTACCCCAACTCTTGTATGCATTAAAAAATAAATCTTTAAAAAAATAAAAAATAAAATAAAGAACGTCTGCTCTGTAAAAAAACAATGTGAAGAAAATTAAAAGACAAGTCACTGACTGGAAAAAAATATGTATAGAAAACACATATGATAAAAGACTGTTATCCAAAATATATAATGAAATCTTAAAACTCAGTAAGAAACCAAACAATCCTAAGAAGTGGGTCAACCACCTTAACCGGCACACAGATGAGAAATAAGCACTGCAAAAGATGTTCCACGTTATATTTCATCAGAGAAATGAAAATTAAACAATGAGCTACCACTTACCCCCAATTAGGATGACCAAAGTCCACACAAAAATCTGAACATAAATGTTTAGAAGAGTTTTAGTCATTAACTGCCCACATGTGCAAGCAACCAAGATGGCCTTCAGTAGGTGAACGGGTAAATGAATATTTTTCAAACCAAAAAGGACTGAGTTATCAAGAACCAGTCTGAAAAGGGCTACATACTGTATTACTTTAACTAGATGACATTCTAGAAAAGGCAAAATATGGAAACAGAAAAGTCAGTGAAAAGATCAGTGGTTACCAGGGACTGGGGTGGAGGAAGGGCGTGATCACGAGACAGAGCACAGGGGAGCCTTAGGGTAATGAAACTAATCTGCATGAGACTACAAAGGTGGATACACATCATTATACACCTGTCCAAACCCACAGAACAGACACCATCCACCTGTCATCTCTTGATGGAGTATATATGATGGAGTTTGGGTGATAGGATTAAGTGTATACAGGTTCATCAATTGTAACAAATGCACTATAGGCAGGAGAGTATAATGAGGGAGTCTAAGCTTGGGATTCTGGGAACCGAGAATTTATG